TTCTGGGAGTTGAAGTCCACGAGTCATAAAAGAGCCAAAGGTTGCCTACCCCTGCACTAGTTTATATGAAAGGTAATAACATACGGTAGCTATTGAGATCACCCGGTTGTCTTAAAATCTCTTTGCCCTTTTGCTAGGATTGATCAGGCTGAATTTGGTATTATTGTTTGCTGTCTTGTAACAATGCAGCATTAAAAATGGTACTTCTCTTGGCCTCTTATCTCCACAGATTTTCTTCAGCTGATGCAAAGATTTAAAGTAATTACAATTTTATTATGTGGGCTTGAGAGCAAGACTGATGCGTGGAATTAGGTGCAGAACTATTTTGAGGCATATAATTCCTGTAATTTTCCAGGCCAGTGATGGCGAACCTTTTAGAGACCGAGCGCCCAAAAACTGCCCCGCCCCCGTTCTGCCCCCCCATCCCCCGCCTGCCCACAGGACCACTCACCGCCTCCAGGGCCCATCGCAGATCACCCAGGCAGCCCAGCAGCACTATGGCGGCCACATCCTCTGCCTGCGTCCTGCAGCATCAACTGCATGATGGAGTGTGAGAGCAGAGTCTTGTCTACGCTGCCTGGCTGCCATGTCCTTGGCTGCGCTGCTCCGTGTGGGCCACGCTCGAGGGCGAGTCTCTTTCAGGGGGGTTACTGGAGAGGAGGGGGTCGCGGGGGAAAGCAAGGCTGGGGCAATGGCATGTGTGCCCACAGAGAGGGCTCCGAGTGCCGCCTCTGGCACCCGTGCCATAGGTTCGCCACCACTGTTCTAGGCTAATCATTTAAAGTTTAGCCTAAATCTTGTCCATGTTCTGTGATAAAGCTCTGAGCCCAAAGAGATCTAGTCCCTATTATGTTGCCACCAGTTAACATTATTAAATGCATTTGAGTCTTTGTTGTTATTTGTTCATCCTTGCTTGATATTTTGGACTCATTATCATACTCTTTCTTTGGACCAGTTAGATCAGAATAATAACCTGTTTTTTTGTACTTTTTATTGTTAATCCCGATTTATTATCCACTGGAAGGCTTGAAAAAATATATCCTTTCCTTCCTTTCACTATAGAAGGTAGTAGTTCTGTGCAACAATTCAGTGTTGAATCATTTGTATCTTAGCTTCAAAAGCAGGAAGGTGTTCTTTATATTCAGTTTACGGAGGAAGTAATGTTGAACTTAATGATAAATCTGAAGTCATTACCCATGATAAAATTTCAGACTTCATTATATCTACATTCAGGTAGCTGCCTTTGATTCTAAGACTATTTCCATATTTCATTAAAGCGTAAAGACTTTTTTTTCTGTTCCATTAAAAATTAAAATGAGTTAGCTCTAATATGCTTTTAGCTCTGTTCCATTAAGTACATTAGTAAACATTTAAGGATTATCTAGCTTGATTCGAAGTGGGCTTTTGCTGTGCTTCTCTTCCAGTCATTAACATTATATTTAGTGCAACATTCTTGTTCTCCCTATCTATCTAGTCAGACTAGCTTGTCTTGTTTTCCTTTCTTGCTAAGTCCTCTTCTTTGAAAAAACAAATTACAGTTGCTTTTAGAAAGTTCAAGATATCCAGCCTTACAGACAAAGTATTCTGACTAGGTAACCAACTGTTATTGTTTGGATTTAAAAAGTCAGTAGTGATTACAATGTCACAGAACTTAGTAAGTTGAGGGGGAAAAATACAGGTAATCCTCACTTAACAACCATTCATTCTGCAACCATTCAAAGTTACAACGGTGCTGAACAAATAGTTTCAAACAGTTTCAAATCATAGGCTGTAAAGAACAAACTTTTAAGTTTGTTATAGACGTTGAAGTTGTAGACATTTCAGGGCCTTGTGATAAAAAATGTGAGTGCTTGGCATCCTATCCGCATTTGTGGCTACATCACGTGCTTCAACTGCCCTCCTACCAGCCTATCAATCACCCCATCTCTGCCTTTTTGGCTGCCCTGCACTCCATCACGATCCACTCCTACTGCCCAGCTTGACCAGAGAAGAAAAATGTGTGCTAAAGTTAATATTACTGATCCATTAAGAATTCAAGAATATGTTATGGTACATCCAGATTAAAGAAGGAAATTGAAAGGGGACAAAGAAAGAAAGAACTAAGAAACGAAGCATGACTTCTTTAAAGAATTAGACACAGGCACACTGTTCTGCAGTGAAAACCACTATCGGATAATAGAATAATTTGATCTAATTCTAGCGTTCATTATTCCCCAGCATGCAGTACAATTCTCTGATTTCTAACTCACATCTCTATGGACTGGTATTTCTTTCTTTTTTAAAACCTGATTTTCAATTCAACCATTTTGAAAAGATACTGCCACTCCTGAGAGATAGAGGAGAAAGAGACAGAAAGAAAATGGAGGTTGTCTTCAGCTCAAGTTAAACCTCATTTTTTTGGTTCTTAGCCTTTGATTTTTCTGGAGCTTCGATTGTCTCTGGCTACTACCTGGATTGACAGATCAGCTAATTTTTGCTCAACTCTCTCAGTGTCTGAACTTCTTGGAATGGGATTTATCTCATTCACTACAATTGCTATTGCTATATAATTGGACTACAGCCCCTTTTGAAATGATCTGTACCTGCAGTCTTCATCAGATCTTTATTGATACTTCACCATTGAGAAGTTAGCATAGTGAGTATGTATATAAGATATGGTCTTTTTTCTTAGAAGCACTCCTGAGATGGAACTATCTTCACAAAGGTCATATTGGTTGGTTCAACATTTATTGTGTTCTAGACTTGCAGGGAAGACTACACAGTTAGAGAAAAATGAGCTGACTAGTCAATCTAAATAGGGGACCTGAGAAAATCAGTTATGGAAGAGCCCCTCAGATGGATTTTTTATCTAAAAGGAGGAGAATATTCAGGGCTAGCTGAAAAAGCTAGGTAAGAAAGGAAACCCCAACCCACAGAAATCCAAGGAGGAGAATAGGGAATTATAGAACAGGTAAGGGATGAGTGAAGAAGAGTAGATTCACATCAGTTAGTTTGTTCTTTACAGCCTATGATTTGAGCTATGAGGTTTTTATTGGATATGTGTACTTGCAGAGGAAATATCTGGCTGAAGGGATAGTGACTGAAATCAACTTCTCTAGAAATCATTTTTTCCCTTTCTTTTGCACCTTTTTCTATAAGCTTTGTTCTAATTTTAATTAACACACTTATTTTGTGGGAAGCCTTTAGAATATCCCCCTTCCTGATGTAAATAGGTTGCTATTTTTCTCCTGAGTAAACCAAGAAGGGCATTTCTCTAGAAAAAAAATGACCAGTGGCAGTAGGAAAGGGGACAGGAAAGGGGACAGTAGGGTATAATATCCTTATTATTGTTTGGAGCCCAATCCATTCACATCCAATGTGCACATTCCTCTACAGAAATTTATTGTCAACGATGGCATGTAATTGCATTTAATAAAAATAAAAGTAGATATTCCCCTCTTTTTAGCTTAATGTAATGTCAACATTATTGAGGAGCTTTTGTCAGTTGGAATAGAGAATTATTTCATTCTGTTATGATCATCACTGAATGAATACTATATAAAGAAATATCTCAGTCGGTAATTATTTCTGCATGAGATCTTCTCATGACTAAAGAATCTGAATCTGTAAGTGGGAAATTGTTACTTTATGGTATTATGAAATATTATGAAAAGATACAGGTAGGAGGTTTTTAATAGTAAGAAGAGAGAACATCTGTAGCTCAGGGTTGAACCGAGAAGTCCTTGGTGCTTCTAAGGTTGATTGGGTTTTGGCAGACATTTTGTTACCCAGGCAAGTAACAGCTTCAGAGTTAGAAGTGGCTGTTGTTTACTGTTTGATTGTTTGTCTGAGTTGGTAGTCCCTTGATTGGGGAATTGTTTACTGCTTGATTGTTGGTCTGCTATTAATCTTGGTGTTAATCCCCGCTTATCTGAGTGTTCATTGCTGGTGAGGAGGTGTTTTGATCTTTTGTTTCCTTTTTAGCTTTCTGATTGTCTTTTTTTATTGATATGTAAATATTGCTTATCTCTATGTGCCTGTTAATGTCTGCTTTGCCTCAGTGCCAGGCTTCCAGGAATTCTCTAGCATTTTTTGGGATTGGGGGGGGGGGCTTTGTTTGGTCTACGATGCTCACAGTTTCCCCGTTGAAACTATGCTTAAGTCTGTCCATATGTTGTGCAATTAAGGAGTTTTCATTATGTCCTCTGACTACTAGTTGGTGTGTGTGGATGCACTCTGCTAGTCTTCTGCCTGTCTGTCCTACATAGTGGCTATTACAGTCCGTATACCGTAGATTGTAGATGATTCCTGTTCTTCTGGGCTACAGAGGGGTTTTTTATTTACTTAAGACGTTTTGGAGGGTTTTAGTTGGTTGTTGTGTTACTATGATGCCAAGTGCTTGCAATAGTCTGTTGGTTGTTCTGATACATTTTTGATGTATAGCAGTGTTATTTTTTTCATAGCTTATGTTGGTTGTGCTGTAGAGGGTTAAGTGGTTAGGTGCTTTTTGATAATTTTGCATGGGTATCCATTTTGTTGCAAGATGTATACTGTAAGTGTTCTGTTTCCTTTTCCTGATGTACAGGGTTGCTGCAGAGTATTTGTGATAATCTAAACAGTGTTCTTACACAGCTTATCTTGTGGGAGAAGAGATTATTGTTCAAGGTAGTGGATGTAATATACACACCAGTAATGCATGTTGAAGGAGTATCACCTTGGAATTGTCTACTATAAATTTGAAGATGTACTTGTGAGTTAGGTTATCTACAAATTGTCCAGTGAGGTTGAATTCAAGTAATTCATCTTCTGTTTTAGATTAGATGTTACATAGTTAAGTATTTTTGTTAATTGATTAGAACAATACTTTCTGACTGCTAATTGGTTCCACGAGCTTCTGAACAAATTTGCAATGACAAAGTGCAAATATATATAGTTATTTAGGAAAATGTTTGAATATAAAATGCAATTAATAAAGTGGAAAGAGTGATTCTTTTTGTTTTGGACTGCTTTTTCTTGTATAGGTGTCCAGGACTCAGCTTTTACATCTCCCCAATCATCCCCATTTACAATGCTGTGGTCTTCCTTTTTGTGCTGGCCAACTTCAGTATGGCCACTTTCATGGATCCTGGCATATTCCCTAGAGGTAAGCATTACTCCAGTTTCTTGCAAATCATAAATCTAAATATGGTGATTATGATATCGTTATTTCAATTTTTCATCTGTGAGGCGTTATCTTTTTTATATTTATATAAGATTTTTTTTATCACAATACATGTAGTCTTCAACTTACAACCATTCATTTAGCAATTGTTACAAGTTATAACGGCACTGAAAAAGTGACTTACAACCATTCCTCACACTTATGACTGTTGTGGTGTCCCCACATCACACGATCAGAATTTGAGTGCTTGGCAACCGGCATGCATTTACAATGGTTGCCGTGTCCCAGGGTCACGTGATCACCATTTGTGACCTTCCCAGCTAACTTCTGACTAGCAAAGAGGGAAGCTAGATTCACTTAATGACCACACAATTTACTTTTATAACTGCCCTCATTCACTAACAAACGTGGCAAAAAGCTCATAAAATTGCGGGCAGTTCACCTAATAACTGCCTTGCTTAGCAACAGAAATTCTGTTCCATCATCATAAGTCGATGACTACCTGTAAAAATGTAAATATTTGCCTTTCTACTATAGGTCCAAGAATGAATAT